AATCACAATCACAATCACAATCACATCGCTCCTTGGGCCTCATAGTTTAACCCGCAGTGATTCTATGAGGGAGTCAGACCTGTCATCCATCTCCATTCTGCTGGATTCTACCTCTTCTTTGACATAGATGGCCACCCCACCTCCAACATGTCCCTCTCTATCTCTCCTATAGAGTTTATAGCCTGGCACTGCGGTATCCCACTGGTTCTCCAAATTCCACCAGGTTTCCATTATGGCCACTATACCCATGTTATCCCTAACCACCAAATGTTCCAGCTGTCCCATCTTTGCTTGGAAGCTTCGGGCATTTGCATAAAAGCACCTGCGTACTGGGTCCCCCAAGGAGGGCTGCTTGTTTATTTCTCTCTTTTTTCATAGCTTCTCATTGCAATGGACCAACTATCACATCCCATCACACTCCCAGTCTTAATTCCTACACTGTCATCACTTTGTGGTTCTTTACCCTCTCCACCCTCATTCCACAGGGACAAGGAGTCCCAAACTGGACGCCACTCGGCTTCTGTCGGCTTTCCCCTGAGATTCAGTTTAAAAGCTGCTCTGCCACCTTTTTAATGTTACACACCATCAGTCTGGTTCCATGTTCATTCAAGTCTAAAAATCCAGGGATACTTTGTCCCTTAAGTTGACTGCAGCAGAACTAGCTCAGTACATTTTTATTTTACTACATATATTTTTGGCTATTGTATGCAGTTTGAAGCATCCTAGTCACCACATGCTCAGTTTCTCTTTAGGTCCATGAAATCTGTACCTTCATGGGGTATGTGTATTAAGCTTGTGCCAATAAAATGAGTGTCTTGTGTCATCTTTTGGACTAACAAATTTATTTTAGCTTCATTTTTATGAATTACAGTTTGTCTCCTCAAATGCATGGAGTACAACATTAGGGCCTACAGACTTGAAGCCCTAATGTCGTATTCCATTCATCTGAGGAAGTGGATAGTGATCTGTGAAAGGTAAAGGTTCCTCTTGACATTTAGTCCAGTTGTGTCCGACTCTAGGGCGCAGTGCTCATCCCCATCTCCAAGCCGTAGAGCCACCGTCTGTCCGTAGACACTTCCGTTGTCACGTGGCCAGCGCGACTAGACATGGCTCTGGAACAACTTACCTCCTGATTCACGTGGCCCCCTCGCTGGGTATCTTTAAGAATCAATTAAAAACATGGCTGTTTAGGCAGGCCTTTCCATCAGATAATCCCTGACGCTCCTGACCCCCTTTCCCTCTCTTATCGTTCCTTTCACTTTGTGTAATGTTTTATTATTAATTATTGTTTATATATTAATTTTATTGTAGTAGTATTTTTGTTGTTAGCCGCCTAGAGTGGTCCTGACCCGACCAGATAGGCGGGAAATAAATAAAATAAAATAAAATAAATAAATGGAACGCCGTTTCCTTCCTACTGAGGTGGTCCCTATTTATCTACTTGCATTTGTATGCTTTCGAACTGCTAGGTTGGCGGGAGTTGGGACAAGCGACGGGAACTCACTCCGTTGCGTGGATTTGATCTTACAACTGCTGGTCTTCTGACCCTGCAGCACAGGCTTCTGCGGTTTAGCCCGCAGCGCCACCACGTCCCTTTGATCTGTGAAAACTGATGCTAAAATGAATCTGTTAGTCCAAAAGGTGCCACAAAACACCTTGTTTAGCACCTTCATGGTTTTTGTACACATTAGTCCTTTTTTTAAAAAAAGTAAGTATGATTCTATGTTATTTGGCAAAGAGGAAAAAGGATTTTTTCCCTCAGTGCATCCAAAAAAGTCTTTCTTAAAAAAAAAAAATCTTCATTAGGCTATGGGCCTGGTAGGCAAGACATCAATTGTTCAGGTTCAAACAGAGCTTACAATAACCTATCAGCAGACATAAGAGCGAGGCCAGTTAATTGTTTATATAATAAGAACAGATGACATCCCTTTGGCTTCTCTGTCTACCCTAATCCCCTCTGAGCCAAAACCTGAAGTACACAACAAGGCTTACCCTAAACAGCCAAGAGCCAGTGATAGTACATACTATAGTGCTGCGAAGTTAATCAACAGTTTTTCTTGCAAGACATAAAGGTGCAAGGCGTACCAGTGGAGGCAAACCTTTTTTGGCTTGAGTGCCCAAAGAAACCAGGG